TAACAAGTCTCGAGTGCATTGACTAAACAATAGGAAGACTTTATGTTTATCTCACAATTCAATTAGTGTTTGTGAAAACCCCAGGAGTGCCACAATTATAGTGACACCAATTATAGCATTGTCTTTCTTATTACTTAACATTTACTATTTATCTCATTATTTAAAATAAAGGTATTAATTATGAAAACTTAAATCATGTTTATACGGCTTTTCATGCAATCAGTTAACAACTTCTCATTGGTTTATGTCTTAATTAATTCCAAACACTGGAATTGTATTGTATTTTCACTATTCATATAATATCTCTTTCGCACTAATGATAACAACCTTCAAAACTAATCTAAACTTTAATTATTTAATATTTAAATTTAGGGATACTTTCTCACAGCGTGTGTATAACATTACAATTAAATTATATTTGTATTTGTAAATGTTGTTTTTGTTTCACAAATTAATAATTCTGTTCATCATTAAATCTTTTGTTCAACAAAACTCTAATTATCATCAAAAAAAATCTCTATAAATATCACAATTGCATGAATGATGCAATCATAGCACAGAATTTGCATGAATTTGAATATAAATAAAACACACAAAAAATAGTTTTAAAAATACATTACTTAGAGCTCCGATAGTATAGGTAGCCGTCCTTATAGTGATTATAATGCCGATATCGTCCACAGACTTGCCGTATATATTGCCTAATGATGTGAGTGTAGGCCCCACCAGACCGTAGTTGACCGCCTGCAACATAAATCACCATGTTACTACCGGAATATCATATTAAGCATCAAGCAAATAAATTCATACATTTGAAAAATAGCAGAAATATATAGAATATGTTAACAAATATTTGGGCGATAATATATGACTCCAATCCATAGCGTATAACAATATATAAACTTTAAAACTTTGGCCAAAAATACCGATTCCTATGAATATAACATATTATGAGGAAATTGTTTTGGTTTTCAAGCATTTAATGCATTCAAATACCGATCCAATGGTTTGCTTTGCGCATGTATTACACCATTCATGACATAATCATTGATATTGTACTCACTTTTCCAACTAATATCAGCCCCCGAGAGCATCACCTAACATACCGGCCCTCTAAAGTGCTATGTGTATACGCAATGCCATAGAGGGTTTCAGATATGATAAATGCCTGGTTGAGATGAATTTGTTTGAAAAGTTTGTTAAAAACTAGCAATTCATTGATGAGATTATATAATTAGCTGTGAATTGAGCCCATAATACCATTGCATTGAACCCAACATCATATCCCCCAGAATCGTCTCAAAGTCCACAAAACTTTTCACATAATTATTATACAGTCATAAAGAATCAAATTAAACATAATATTAGATTATTGTTATAAAACATTTTTTTATTCAGTTAACAATTTGTTTAGTAAAACAATTCTTTAAATAATTATTTTACATATATTTATACATTTTGAATGCAATTATGTGTATGAATATAAAAACTTTTTGCTAAATATAAGTCTAGTTTCTATGTAGAAAAGTATTTTGGAATTGTTTTTATATAAATTACATTAATATTTATATATAATAAATTGAATTTTAATTCACTTTACAATATTAGTAAAGCATGAATTTGTCCCAGTTTGAATCACAGATTAAATTATATTTAAAAATAAAAACCATAAGTCATATTTACTTTAAGATATTTCTGGAACTTTATTTTCCGTATTTGCCTCCATGTCCTCCACCACCATATCCACCACCACCTCGTTTGCCGCCACCATAACCACCACCGCCTCCATAACCACCGCGTTTGCCACCGCCGTATCCGCCGCCGCCATATCCCCCTCCACCGCCTTTTCGGTATCCGCCGCCTCCGCCTCCATAGCCTCCACTTCTCTTTCCACCGCCATATCCTCCGCCACCATATCCACCACCACCTCGTTTTCCGCCACCGTAACCACCGCCGCCTCCATATCCACCGCGTTTGCCACCGCCATAACCGCCTCCATAACCACTCAAACCTCCACTCTTTCCACCGTAACCGCCACCATATCCTCCACCACCGTATCCGCCGCCTCCATAACCACCTTTACTTATACCGCCGCCCCCATAACCTCCTCGGCTACCGCCACCGTAGCCTCCTTTGCCTCCACCGCCATATCCTCCACCATACCCTCCACCACCGTATCCGCCACCTCCATAACCGCCTTTACTTATGCCTCCGCCGCCATAACCTCCTCGGCTGCCACCACCGTATCCACCTTTACCTCCACCACCACCATAGCCACCACCACCACCGCCGTAGCCTTTGTCCAGAAATATAATATACAGTATATAAGAAATTATAATATTTTAAAGCAATTTCAATATTCTCCACCTCCGCCCCCACACTGGACGGCCACTATCAAAATGACCACTAATGCCGTTACCGTCACAAACTTATTCATAACTACGAAAAACTTAGTTTTTATAAACAGACAAATGATTGTCTCATTTGTGCTGAAGACAAATGAATGAGTAGTTCCTGAGAGAGAAAGCCCTTTAAATAGTCGCCGAGAGACTTGTTCACAAGAAAAAAATAACAATTTGTTTTTATTATTATTTTCTTTATATATATATATTTAAGAACTTTGTTTTTTCTCCAAAAATAATTTATTTCGTTATAATTTTCAAGGCTTTTATTAATGCGATCTTTTAATAACAATATAATGGTTATTATGATTCACTAAATTGTTTG